AGATTAATTAGTGAGTTCGAGTGATTTGTAATCTCAGTTTGTACTCTTCTTCTCTATTAGTGAAAACCCTATCCCCTTCTTGCCCCGTGGACGTAGGCAACTTGCCAAACCACATTAAAATTACTTGTTTGTGTTTGTGCTATTATTTTGAATTGTTTGTGGCCTTCTCTCTCGGCGTTTGTTTGATTTGGTCTCTCGAAGCACATTGGTTTGGTTTTGGCTTCCGCCGCGCACAACATCTTTGTCGTAGACACTTCAATGGAATAATACTATCAATAGCATCCCCATTTAGGAAAACTAAGTATCTCACCGTAAGTACACACTTCATGGTTAGCTCAATCTGCTAGTTGTGAATCCCAACTTGTGCATCATAGCTTTGAGGAAATTCCACTCCACACGGTCATAAGCTATCCTCATATCCAATTTTGGTGCAAAAGTCTCATCTTTACAAGATCTACTATCACAATACTAGTTTTCACAATATCCCACATAAATGGTGATTCCAAGATGATGGTAGGAATTCTGGATGATCTGATCTCGTTTATTGAAATTGGCAAAGCCAAATGGTAAGACTTGAGTAATTTGATCCTCTCCAATTACCGCTAAAAAGGAAAAACCTAAATTCCCGAAAACAAATAAAAAAGAACATTTTTAAGAGATTTGGACTTTCTTTTTTCATACAAGAGGGTATTTGAGATGTCTACACATAAGAAATTACATAAAGTGTTCACATAAGTGAGTCATGTAATTACTAAACTACCCTCACTAAATAACTTCCCTCCAAGTCATCAACGCTAACCTCCCACCCTTCCCTAATAATAATAATAGTAAATAAATAAATAAAAATAAATGCCTCACTTCATCTGCTCGTATTCTGAGAAAAGCAAAATTTATTTCCCTCTTTATCGTCTCCATAATCAACACCGAATATTTTGCCTCTGGTCCCCATTAAGATTTAGGTTTGTATTAAAAAGAGTATAACTAAAATTCCGTCCACAAAAAGTTAAAATTGAAAATATATCCAACAGGTCCACATCACAAAAAAAAAGTTAAAATTCCATCCACAAAAAGATTAAAATTAAAAGGGTTTTTATATATTAGCCCCTTACATCGTATGTAATTTGATATTAGCCCTTTAAATCTTCATATTTTGATAGTAGCCCCTCAAATAACTATGATATTTTGTTATGAGCCCCTATGGTTAGGTTCATATTTTGATATTAGCCACTTAAATAGTCATGATGTGTTGAAAGAGCCCCTCGTATTAACATATCATCGCAACTTGAGAGGGTAATATCAAAATATGGAGATTTAAGGGGCTCATACAAATTATGTTTAATGTAAGGGGCTAATATCTTAAAACCCAAATGGAAAATATATCCACAAAAAGTTAAAATTGAATATAATTTATATAATTTCGAGGACATACTAGCAATTTGAATGAGTTGATAGACTAATCTCGAAATATTAATGAATTGATGGATTAATATCGAAATAACCCTACATATCGCGTGTATTGATTGAGACTAAACCAGGTCCACATGACAAAAAAATTGGCATGTAGATTTGGGAAATTAGTAAAGGTTAAACCTCTAACCACCGACTTTTCTATTAAAACCCAACTAAACTTCCGAACTTATCTCTCATATTTTTTTTCCGGAATTAGAGAGGAATTTCTTAAATAACGGAGAGAGAATAAGGTTTTGTTCCGAGCCACCTGTTTTAAGAGAGAAAAATAGAAGAGGTATTACTTCCCCCCATCAAAATTCTGACTGTCCATTCTGAGAGAGAAAGATGCTTTCATCCACAATTTTATTCATTCAGTCATACTCAACTCATCAAAATCCCATCTTTCCTTCAACTGCATAGCAATCAGAAGTTCTCAAGAGAACCCAGCTAATCAAAAACCAATCTTTCCTAACAAAACCCAATCAATTCTCAATCCCCCATCTCTTCAATAGAAAAATTCCCCCACAAAAAATGAGCTCTGGATTATTGCCCAACACCACCAACATCCCATTCTATCATCAACCTCCAAAACAGCAACAACCAATAAAGAGACTCTCCACTTTGCGATTCCCTTCAGTTCACTACTCTTCTTCATTCAGAGCAAAGGCAGCAGTGAAAGAAGAAGGTGGGTTGACTGAAGAGAGAAGAACTTCGAGCTTTTACGATCTCCTTGGGATATCAGAAGGAGGGAGCTCTGATGAGATCAAGAGGGCCTACAAGCAACTGGCAAGAAAATATCATCCTGATGTTTCTCCTCCTGATAGAACTGAGGAGTATACAAGGAGGTTCATTGAGGTGCAGGAGGCCTATGAGACTCTCTCTGATCCTCGGCTGAAAGCAATTTATGACAGGGATATGGTCCGAGGGCTGCATCTTGCTTTCTCATCAAGGAGGAGATTTGACGAGGTGAGTTGTTTTGATTTTCTCACCTGGGTTTTGGCAGATTTACTTATATTAGAATTATGAACTGTTTGAGTTCTTATCGATGCCTGAAATTGGTTATTTTGATGTAGATTTGCCACTGTAATTGAGGATTAGAAATATCAATTGCTGGAGATGCATTCTTTAACCAAATTAGGTCCCCATTCATTCATTTGTTATGCACGAGATGCTATTGTAATTGAGGCAATTAATTTCCCTTTCCATTAATGATTAATTATGTGGAGTTTGTTAAATTTACTTCCTCTTATGTTTATGTCTGTATATAACCCCTAATTTTGAATAATTTTGTACTTTCTTGCAAGTTGCAATGAATTTTGACCCATTTTTGGGATGTTGCTTCAAAGTTAGTCCAGTTACTCGTTTAATATGGATTTTGTTTGATTTGGTCTATCATTTGATGTCAGTATTATGTTTAGGCATAATTTTGTTACTGTGTTGTGTTTCATGTTTTAGTTATTTGCAGTTTCATATCATCATTCTTAAAAGCGAACCTTGTGCTCAATCATGTGGAGTTTGATCAAATCTTGTGCTTAATTATTGCCAGTTTTGATATTATCATTCTTAAAATTGAATCTTGTGCTTAAAAGTATGTACTTCCTAAAATTGAATTTGTTACTATATTGTGTTTCATGTTTTAATTATTGTCAGTTTTGATATCATCATTCTAAAAAATTGAATCTTGTGCTCAATTATGAAGTTTGTTAAATGTCACTATGTCAGCTTCATCAGTAATATATATTTCTAAAAGATATCATCACTTGCATTTCAAGACTCATACTGCTTATTCCTTTAGGTTGTTTTGTTATCTTTGATATGTAATCCCTGTAATATATTTGCTTACTTGCCACTGATTATCCTTTGATGTAGGGAACAATTTGCCTTTTCCTAGTGGAAATATAGTCTGTTTATCATTGCTTCCTCTTTTTCATTAGAATTATGGTGTTTGTGATCTCTGAATCTTGTTTGATGCTTGTGCTTGAGGATTTCATGAATTTCCACTACATAATTGTGATTTGATAATCATGTATAGAAGTGAAAAATTATGTTAGTGATATATGAATAATGATATGATCTCTCAGATCCTCTTTATAACAGTAACATTATCTGTTTTCCTCAAAGGTCTTTTGTGTTGATTGGATGTTTTTTCTTTTCTTTTTCTTTTTCCCGTACATCAGTTGATTTGCTGGGATATGCATTTTTTCGCATGAGTTGTATATTAGATGAATTTGAGGGCAGTTTACATCAATATTTGCCATAGTCCATCAAGTAGTGCATCATTTCAAATTTTTAGGTTTTATTCTAGCGTCATATGTGACTGTTTTGGTCTGGTCTTAAGATTTTTCAGCGTCTCTGTTTGAATTGGTCTCTGATTCTTAAGAAATTGGATAACTTTGTTTTGTGTTAAATTCTGAACATTTCTAAGTTTCTTGTGTGCAAACTTATATTATAATTGAATTGAAACCTAATCACATTAATAAAATAACATGGGCTTATATATAGGCCCCCTACAAATATATCTTACAAATAACCCCCTTAACTATTCTAATATGTCAACACTCCTCCTCAAGATGGGCGAAAGATA